TAACCTGGCCTCCTTTGCATACACATTTTAATATATTTTAAGTGGTGTCAGACTACTCTACAACAACAGGTCAGAAAACCTGGATATGTGCATATGCAGAATTATACTTAGGATAACATTTGCAGCACTTGACTCCCCTCATCTAGTCATCATTTTCCTCTACTTTGCCATGCTCAGCCCAATTCAAGCCAAGTGCAATATTTCTTATTAGTGTTGTTAGAAGTTTTCAAATGAAACCTTGGACGCTGGAGATGGCTAAGGGCCCACAAACAGAGACTGCTGTCTCAGGGTGAAGGAAATCCCCCAGGGCCTCTGCTCCTCCCAGAAGTGAGCATCCCTTGCACCTTGCTGCCCCAGCCTTTACCTGCTTTTATGTCATTACCATCTCCCTGAGATAAAAACATTGACTACTGGACCTCACCACACCACGCATCACAGCAGCAAGCAAAACTACAAAGGCTGAAAGCCTGATCTTAGCACTGGAGGAAGTCTGATGTTTATAGGAAAAAAAAAAAAAACTAAACTGAGGGCCCAGCTTCCCCAAAAGCTCTATCCTCTCTCACTGAGATGACTGGACAGTGACGGTCAGGAAGAGTCCTCATCTACTGGAGACAAGCTGTACGCTCTTGTTTAACTGCTATATCTTTGGAAAAGATCTCTTTTCCAAACCAGGGTGAACTCAGTTTGATGTAACTTTATTGGGTATCATCTCTGACACAGCCTCTTGAACACGTACTTATTGAAAATGAGGTGTTTGCTCACTCTGCTGAGGAATACAGAAATGAGAACAAAGAGAAGCCACATCATGGTACATCACGGTAATGTTTTACACCACAAGAGATAAAAGTAATCTTCCAAATTACTTTCCAATTTGTAAAGAGAGACTGGGATTTATCTGATATTTAACTAGTCACTGATCTTTAGAAAAAAAGTCCTGTATAGTAGGTAATTGTGACTAAAGGAAAGGGAAAACTTAAAAATACATTCATACGTAAAGACAAGAAACATGTCAACACCACTTTACCACTTTTGAATTTTATTGTGGAACTGAGTTTGTTTCCTTTACATCAAATATCCTCAATGGAAGAGGGGATATTGCACACAAATATCATAAAAGCACTACATATTACTTTCACTGGAAACTAATTTTCTACATTAGATATGACTGGATAGAATAGAAGTGATGCAGGATTATAAGACATAATACCATACACAGCTGCAGACTGACACAAACACCATTCAGAAAAGAGAGAGGAGGTGTGTGAGGTGCTTCTCAGCCAGCAACAAGACTTTCTTTCCGTAGTTTGGAAGATAATGGCTGCATGCAAATGCGTGAAAGCATATTTCAGATTTCATCTTTTGCAGTTATGATTACAGCCCAGTCTTGAAGAGGCAGCCCCTGCCACCTGGAGCTCCTAGCTAGTCTAGTAGAGAGAAGCTGCTTTCAAGATTTCTTTCTATATTTTATGCCATTGTTTTATTTAATTCCTTAAATTTTTTTAGATTTTTTTTGCAAAGTCACAAGAAACAGACTTTTTTCTTTTTTTTTTTTAAATTTTAAATAGCAAACATTTTTAAACCAGGTGAATAATATAACTGTATTCTACGAAATGCGTACCCCTAGATGCTCTTAGTGTTTTGTCAATTACTAAGTGAAAAGATGAAAGCTTACAGTTTCTTTCAAGTGTAAACATTATATTTTTTCATCTTCTAGTAAATCCAGACCAACAAAATTACCATTTCTCTCAAAAACATCACTACTGAGCAAGAACCTCTGGTGACAGATGAACAAAGAGAAGCATATGACAGAAATGTCCCAAATGCACAGTTAGTGCTCTTTGGAGCTCATTTGCTTGTGGTGGGAGGGATTGAAAATTCAATTAACAAATTTATTAAATCTTAGTAAAAGAGTACCAGAACTCTCCTAAAATGCATAAGCTATCATAGACAATTAAAAAAACCCCAACATTCATATACACAGTTATCTCCATTCACCACAGTATGTAAAGTAAGTTAAAAAAAAAATCAAAAGTGATTTCTATGAAAGATGGGGTGAAAATAGAGGTCAATGAAGTCAGGCCCACCACAGGACTTTGAAAAGGCATGCAAGAGAAGCCCTGTCCAAGTTCAGGAGTGGGATGGGATCCCCAAAGTTAATTCTTCATTGAATTATATGAAGCAGAATATTAATAGCATAAAGATCATGACTGGGAATGCTGTTATGGGTAATACCATCATTGAAATAGAGTGTCCTTTACACTCGGATATTGAATCTTTACAATTAGAGTAATCAATAATAAACCATGCTCCTAGAAATCTATGCTGATCAACAGCACTCATCGTTAATGTACACAGTACATTTTGATGACTGTAACACTAAACTAGTTGTGTAGTACTAGGATTAGCACAGGTAGATTAGTTCCACAGGCAGAAAGACATTAAGGGCAAGAGGAGCTAATTGAAGAGCTCATTGATGTGTTGAACCTCGGTGCCATTGCCATTTGGAAGGGAATGGATGGAACAGGCATTACAATACCTCAAGATAGCCAGACCAGGGGTTTAATATTCTTGTAGCAGCAAAAAAAGCAAATGTACATGTTAAGGTAATCTGTATCTGTCTAATTATCGTTATTATTTCAGAAGTAAAACAAATGCTTCAGCCATCGTAAACTTGCTTAGGGATATTTAAGGCTTGATTCCAATTTAATTTACAGTAGGACCAGATGACTGTAACTTCCCTGACAGTAGTGAAATTGCTCCTAATTTACAGGATTAAGTGTTGTAAGTGAGATTAGTCACAAGACCACTGCTGTACTTAAAACATAAGCAGTGACACAAACCATTTCAGGTATTGTCAGAAAATCAGAAAATCTGTTCCCACCCACTCAAAAAGTTTGAATTCTGACCTATATAATAAAGTAGACAAATCAGAAAGAATTGTAGAAACAGTGTAACTATTCTGCCAAACATTTTGCCTGTATCTTCCTAGACTATATATTATAAAAGCAGTTTTAAGTGAATGATATGAGCCCAGCAAGCATGCATGTTTTCACAATACATTTCCACCTGCCTTTTGTTCTGAGTTTAACTACTTAAAAAGTATAGCAATAAATAAAACAGCATTGCTAGAGAGACCTAAAAAAAGAGTAGACATTAAAAATAAATCAAAACCCCAACAACTGACAAACAGGAATTCACAGCATTAAATGGGCCTCAGGAGCCCACATTTTGAAGACCCTAAAGCAATATTAAAAAAACCCTCATAAAATTAGGAGTGCAAACATACACCTATTAAACAAAAATATCCTAACACAGTAAAACTAAAATAAATTATAAGTAAAGAAAATAAAATGAGGTCATAGTTCACTACATTGTGAAACTTAGTACCAGCCACAACGGTGAATCATACAGACCAGCACATATCTCCATGCTGGAGGCTTTTACACCTTCTTTAAAGTCAGATTTGCAAATCTTCTGCAATGCAACAACTTTTTTTTAATTGGGATAAAATTTCTGAGACTAAAAAATTCAAACTGTCTTAAATCACAGAGCAGTGATGCTGTTCCTCTGCAAGCAGTCTGGAGAAGGAAGGGAGACATGAAGGAGGAAAGGGAAAGGGAAAGGGAAAGGGAAAGGGAAAGGGAAAGG